TACTGGTGGTAAACAAGATGTTCAATGAAAGTTGCTTGATAGAGGCCACACAAATATGTCTCCTTCAGTCCCTCCTCAGACACCTCCTAAACAAAGTAGTACAGGGGAGAAAGATTAAAATATTAAAATAGAATTCATTCATTGATTCATTCATTCATTTAAAGGATGGCAAGGAATTAGAACTCATATATGAGTTCTAATTCCTTGTCATCCTTTCACCAAACAGACCCAGGAACAAACAGCACTGTGTGTGTTATGAGTGGAGATGCTGTCAAATTTTAAAGAGTTAAAACTAAAAGCATTCTCCATGTGGACTGGCTCAAGACCTTTTGCTGCTTGATGCAAAGGGCAAAATGGAGGATAAATGGGGCTCTTCCCCTCTTCATCCCATGAATGGAAATGAACACGATAGGCAGAGGGCATTCTCTTTGATACTGGTGGCATGACAACATCGTCCTCCACACTTGGGGGCAGTCGGATAGTTTAGGTGGTACCAAATTGGTCACAGAAGTGCTTCGGCAAAAGGTAATAGCCAGGAGGAATAGCCAGATGGCTGCCGTTGCTCACCCCCCAATGAAGTGGTTTTATCACAGTGCCTAATGGTGGGGCCAACCTGTTGACTAGAAAGCCGCTTTGACCTGGTGAGGGCCTCTGTCTTATGAGGGCCCATTTTTCTTGCATTGCTCTGGCTTGGCCCCTCTGCTCAAGTACTGAAACAGCTTATCTTGTTGTGTGCTGCCTGCCATCGTATTCCCCTCTACTCCTTCCCAATATGGAGTGAATTATACCTATGTAAAGTTCATAAAAATCAGAGAGAGAGAGAGAGAGAGAGAAAGAGAGAGAGAGAGAGAGGGAGAGCTTCTCCCAGCAAAAAAAGGGGGGAGGGAGCGGGGGGGAGCCTTCTTCAGCAAGCGCAACAGGATCATTATATCCTGGGAAAGAAACTAACCTCTGACTTGAAACCAAGAGTTTTAGTTCTGCACGTTGTTGGAATGTGAGTGTGTTCGATGCCACCAGAAGCTTTTGTCCGGCCTTCTTGTGTGATCGCCCCAATAGCTCTCCCATGAGAGACCTCCTCTCTGGCTGCAGAGGGCCTGGATTTAACAGGGTAGGGTTGGGGCCTCCTTTAACGCAACCTAGGCCAGTCCACACCAGTTAAGGATTAGCTTTATATTTTAAAGCTCTTATCTCCCAGTAGCGGTGCAGAATCAAAGTGCTCTTTTGTTTTCGTTTATGTGCTGCTCCGGCCACATGCACTCTCCTTTATGGAGACACAGTGAAGGGATTGCTATCATGCAATTTATTTAAAAGACAAACACAGGCCAGCCTCCTCCTCTCTGCCCCCTTCCCCTTATACAGTTGGAATAGCTACAGAACAGAGTTCAAGGTCTTTTGGTGATCTCCCAGAAAGTCTCTTTTAATTTAATCTCTAATGGGATTAACAGCTTCATTAAATTGTAAATCTGCCATGTTACAGCTGTTGTGGGAAACTGAACTCTCTCAATTGGAGGACTCGTGCAGTTCTGTATATTGCACCTGAAAACAGCTTTTCCAGGGGTCCCTGCTTTCAGGGGGAAAAAAATATCCCAGTTTGCAAAATCTAACGAATAATTGCATTTATTTCGGATCTTTAGCTCAAGGCAGCATTTCTGGCCTCTCTTTTGCCTCACTTTTATTCTCACCATGGCATAGGCCAAGCTGAGAGACAGTGACTGACCCCAAAGATTTCATGGGTCAGTGGGGATTTGAAACTGGACCTCTCACGTTTCAGCCCGTATTCTCAAAAAACTATGCCACAGTCAGAGGGCTACACTCTTTGCCTTGAGGTGAGCGTCCAGTGCAAAAAGGGAAAGAAAGAAAAAATGAGAACAAAAAAAACACTTATCTCCCCACCAACACCAGAAAAGGCCAAATGCTAGAACCAGAAATGTGGAGACGAGTCAGAATCTTGTCTGCTTATGTGATCGCGGAGGAATGGCGATGTAAGCATTCTCTCCTGCCCATGCTCCCTTCCCAAATGCAGGGTTCTCTTCACACCTCACTCCTTGCAATGGTGGCAAAATGGTCAGATGAGCCAGTGGGAGGAGAAGAACCAATGTGTGGTTGCCCTCCTGCACACCGTTATTCTCTGGATGGATTATAGAGAATATGTTTCTTTTCTAAGCAACATGAGGATGCCAGCAGCAGTACAGATATTCAGTAGCCATAGTGGTGCTTCCTTTGGAGTATCCATTTACCGTGGACCCAATCTAGACTAAAAATTAATTTTTCCCTTATCATCGCCCCACCGCCATAATTGGAACATTGGTTTCAGGCCATCCTGTCCAAAATGCCTCAAAAGTAAGCCCAATTAAGTTCAATTGAATTCAAAGAGGTTTTATTCTGCATAAATGGGTAGAGATGTAGCGGTAAATTTTATTTAAGGGACATCATGGCGGTCCTCATGGTCCCAGATATGGAAGCAGTCACTTCTCCCTCCATCTCTCCCACTCTTTCTGTATTTGTGTATACTTATATGCATACCAGAGACACAACAAGACCAAGCAAGGTATCCAAAATACTTTATATTACAATGTAAGTAATAATAATCATGTGCCTGCAAGTCAATTCTGACTTAGGGTGACCAGTTTCCAGGTACAGTGAACACTCAGAAGTGGTTTACCATTCCCTTCTTCTGGAGGCATTCTGGGAGTGGACAGCTTGCCCAAGGCCACCCAGGCTGGCTCTTCTTGTAGGAGGCACAGTGGAGAATCGAACCCCTAACCTCTGGCTCCACAGCCAGATACCTAACTCACAGAACTAATCAGCCAGCTCACAGTATAGATAGGTCATAACAATATATTGTTGCTAGGGGGATTCTTGTATTTTTCTCACACCAACTGTGAGAATTGCAAGTTTGCAACTAAACTCGGAAGGAAGTCCGAAAGGAGATGCTGGTAATGCCATTGTTCCTGCCAATTCAGTATTTCCTGCATTTTGACCCTGCAGTTCCACATTCCAGCTACCACACCAAGGCAGCAGTCCTATACAGTACAAGCTTATCTGGGAGTACCTCCCATTTAACTCAAAGGACTTACTTTGAAGTAGGTAAGTAGAGCATTGCATTGCAGAATAGTATGACCAGTATCCCTTTGTGCAAGGTGTGCTGTGCTCTGGCACTCTTCCCATCTTGCACTGGTTGGGAGCTTGATCACTCACCAGTCCAGTGCTAGGAATCCTGCTGGGCTAGAGGGGATGCTTACAATAGGATATTGACCTATATGAAACCAAAGGATTCTATTTATTATTGTTTTCACTGCTACCCTTAGTAGTAGTAATAATGACAGTTGGGAATATTGCAGTCTTTTCCTCCCTGAAAAACATGCCAATATTGTACCAGAATAGCATTTTTCAATTGATTGCGTAGTAGTTCAAAAAGATCTGCATGTTTTAATTTTAGAGGGAGATGTTTTGATTTTCTAGATGCTATCATTAGCTACCCCAAAGAGAGAGAAAAAATATTGAAAACATATGTACGCACATGTGTGACTGTGCATGCGGATATGTTTGTGTGCTGTCTTGTGTCGTGTTAGGGGACAGAAAAAGAAGTAAGTTGAAAAGCATCTTATCTTTTAAATCACAGCAGTAATAGAACGCAGCTCAAGTAAAGGTGCTTCACTGGCAGGAAAGGAAAAACAGTGAATGACTAATGAAAGAATGTGTAATGCAAGATGAGAGTAGACTTTCCACACATTGGCTGAAGAAAGGTTTTTACTCTTAAGCAATAAAAACAAACCATTAAGGCAGGCCCACACTGTCAGGAAGTATAAAACAGTTCTTGAAACTCTGCAGCAACGGCACACAAAACATTTCTGGAAATCAGGGAACAAAGTTTAACATCCTCATAAAGGAAACTAACTGAAGGATAAATGTCAAAGGCCACAAATGGCAATTAGTGGCCTCTTAACAATGCGGAGTTTAAAACAAATGCCAGATCAGTGATTAATCTTTTCTGGGTGCATTTGAGACTATGTAATCCAGATCAGTTTTGTTTTCAATAAAAGGGATGGAAACAAACAGATACTTATTTTTCAGTCTCCACAAGGCAATAATGACTTCAGAGTGGAAAAGTGTGCAGCAAATTTGGGTGGCAGACGGCTCCTTCCTCCTGAGCGACTATGGTCAAATATGGTCAAGTACACATTAGACTCCATCTATCTTGACTCACCTAGAAATTCCATTAGCTGCAACATCTGTTTGTGTTTTGTATATGTTGCTTATCTATTTTCTCAATATTTTTTTAAAAAGTTATTTAAATAAAAAAGTCATCTTTAAAAACATTTGTATTGATAGATTCCCTTTATTCCTAATCCTTTCTGACCACCCATCCACCAGTGAGCTCAAAGAAGAGCACAAGGTTGTCCTAAATCTGAGATGAGAAAAGAAACTAGCAAAATCTTGTGAGATCAACATAACGCAAGACCAATGATTTTCTGTTTTTTTTCTAAAGCCTGAAGAGTCCTGTTTTCAGACGGTGAGCAGAGTAACAATCCATCAACATCTGGAGAATCAGAGGCTCCCTATCCTTAATTTAATAACTTCCCCCCACACACATTGCATACAAATCATGAAGTCCCACCATTTTTCCTGTCCAGTAAGGATCCCAGCTTCATGATTTCCCTTTGCTGCAAGTTCTGCACAGATTGCCCCCCCCCAGTGGTTTGCTTATGTTGAGACATACTATCCCTTGTGAGGATGCATAGCCAATGAACAAGAACTGAGTACATACCATATATTGCCATAGACATGTATACTCATAACCTAGTGTGATCCAGTGTACGTATACCTGTATGTCTATGTGAAGTAACATTTCAAAATGAAATGTGGGGTGTGAAATCTGAAAATGCAGGATCAGCTTTTCGGAGAAATTGCCTCTTCTGAGTGCCCTGACCATGTGTAAATGTATGCCTAAGTAATTATGGCTCCTAAGAATCACCATATAAACCCCACTGCAACTACAAGATTTTCATCTTCAAAATCTTAATTATGACGTTCATTCTATTTCTGGGGCAGTATGGCCATGACAACTCAACGAAACCTGGACACCTGGCTTTATGTTATTTATTTTGGAGATGATTTTTTTTCCCACTACATATGAACTTTTACCTCCTCCTAGGCTTCCCATATGGGGGGGAGGATTTGTATAGGCATGATGCTGCCGTAACTTCTCTTCCTCCTCTGCGTGTGTTTGAAGACCTTAGGAAAGGACAAGCTTCTCTCAAAGCCATTCCCCCTCTAAACTCTGTCTAAGGTGTGGATTGTGGCATTTAAAATGCAACTTCTATGTGACCTCTTACAATGCTCCCTCCCATTAGTTATCACCATCCTAGAACTGTTCCATAATTTGTTGCACTATTTGTTGTGTTGTTCACTTCTGTCTGCTAACCAATGGACAAAACTTCAGGGTTGCTATAGGAAGGGAAGAAAAAAAAATAACAGTGGAAGAATTCCAGTCTAAATGCCTTCAAAGAACAAATTAAAATCCTCTTGACAGCTGAAAAAGTAACTAGAAAACACCAACCATTACATGTTTTTAAATGAAGGAAAAGTTAACATGGTCTGTGTTTCTCATGTTGCTTTCCAGATGGAACTGTGTTACACCCCTCATTATTAAAAACAATTGATTGCATCACTTTTGATATTTTGTATGCTTAAACAAGTATTCCTCGGTGGCAGAAAAAAGGGGGAGAAGAAAGAAAACCCCCTTCTCTCAAGATGTTAGGAAAGGCAAACAGAAATAAGCTTTTAAAAACGGAAGAAATCTGGTCTTTTATTTAACATTTGGCCGGGACAATGGATTCCAATGGATGAACTACGTAAAGGGGAGGAACAGCATAAACATTTTGCTTTTCTGTAGGTGTGGAGGGGGGAAGAAAAAGTGAGAAGTTCTCTATCAGCCCAGCTGGTGGTCACATCACACCTCCAGGAGGAATGGCCGTTCCGGTTCTTATCCAAATGTTCCACATCTGAAGGGTGCCAGTTTCTCATGGACTGGGCAGCCCACCCTGCAGCATTCCTGAGAATTGTACAATATAATCTTGAGTCAGCAGGGTGGATTAGCCACTTTTCATTGGGCTTGCACTTGTGACCTTAACAGTAGAACTGCAGAAAGCAAAATGCGTTATGCACCTTTGCCATAGTAACCCTTCCATGTACACATTTTAATGTACTTAAATACACACAACTGAAAACAGCTACCATTTGTTTTAAATTATGTACAAGCCCCATATTTTTTTCTTCTTCTTCTTCTGCCTTTTTTGATTATACATATAAATACAAATTAGCTATTCTTCTAAAAAGTGGTTATAATAGCAAATAAATACAAAATAAGATTCTGACCTTTATACTTCATGTGCTGAGGGAAAGGAGGGTTAAACCCATATAAAATGTACAACTAAAATATGTTTTAAAATCTTTTAAAAGGAATATTCTCTGATTAAAATATTTTTCCTCACTTTTTTTCTGTAGACATAAATAGATTTTCAAAATAGATGTGTTTAATTCTCCATTTCATAACATAAATAAGGTCTTCATTGCGAAATATTAAAGTGTCAAGTTTTGTGTGTGTTTTTTTTTCAAATTTTCCTTTTGTCCATTTTTTTAAAAAATTACTCTGCTGCTGCATCAACGGCACCCACAGCCCTCCACAACCATGTCTTGATAGTTCTTTAGTACCACCTTTTCATTCTCATCAAGGTAGAGCATAGAGATGGGGCTAAGTTCTGTCGGCACACAGCAAGCTTTGGGGATTTTGGAATTCACGGAATTGACCAGAGTCTGAACGATGGCATGGTTGGTGGAGTTCAGGTGATCTGCCAGTGGAAAGGGGCAGTCTCCACGACAATGGAAGGCACTATAGCCCGGTGGGGCCACTATCCAGTCATTCCACCCTACGTCATTGAAGTCCACGTACAAAGGGTGCCTTTTACAATTGGATTTATGGCGCTTGCGCTCTTTGTGCTTTGCCTGACGTTTCTCTCGCTTGTGGAGAGGGTGTCCCTTTCCGTCGTTACCAAAGGTGACCAGTAACGGCCTGATCTGAGACCAACTCGTGTCATCCTGATGCAATGACCTGCTGATCCGGACGTGCCTCTTGGAGGCACTGCTCTTGTTGTCCAAGTGCACCACCTCTACCGCAAAGCCATGATTGGGTTGCCCCTGTGCAATCCACCTCCTCACGGCTGGCGTGACATCAAAGGTTTCCCATTTGCTGGCATTGTGATGCACCAAGCGAGTGTCCAAGAGGGCGGTGACTGGGTCCTTGGAGGCCTCTCCCTCTGGCTTTATAATTTCATAAATATTAATGCGGTGGTAAGAGCTGCTGTTGCTCACAAAGAGATCTTGGACCTGCTCCCGGAAAACCTGAAGCTCAGCTGAAGTGATAAATTCCCCATTAGGGATCGAGGTCAAATCAAAGAAGAAACGCCGTAATGTTTTCCCACTTCTTTCTGGAAGTTGTTCCAGGGATTCTGATGGAGGGGGAAGAAAAGCACAGTCAGTTATTTGGATACTGCAGAGTTAATATTTGAACTAGCCTATTATTGAAAACTTTTAAATAACATGAACATATGTTTACATTAGGGGAAAATGTTGCCTTTGTCTTTCTGTTTATTTAACAGCAAGCACATGAAAAATGATGTTATAATGCCCTGTTCACTGTCCTGCGTTTGGATCTCATGGGCATACATTGTGAATTCCAGGTGGTCGTAATAACGGGGAAGAAACGTGAGGCATTGCTTTGGAATTTGGAGGCATTAAAGAAAAATTTTTAACACTGTGGTTAGCAGGGGCCCAGTGAGAGTAATTAAAAAGTGACTAAGGATCAAGGAACGGCATTGCATTTCTTAGATTTCTTTGAAAAATGCATGTGCAAGCACACACACCCCTACACCTTTACTCCAGCTTTCCTCTCAAGTCTCTCACAAACTGTTCCAAAAGCATTACACTGTAAGTTTCATGACTGACAAACCTAACTATCTAAAAGCTTGCTTCTTAATTACAGACCACTTTGCAAAGCACACCCAGTCATTTTACTCAAGAAGGTCCTAAACAAGAAGCATTTGCATGGATCCAGTTGTTCCCTCAAAAGGAGCCCAGTGTCTTGCATCTCAGTCCTAGAGGCTTATTGAACTACAACACCCTATGGGGTGTGGGTTGTACTTTGGGGCATTCATTGCTAAAGTGGCTGCTTCACATGTTTGGCACGTGAGACAAGCCTATCATCCCCTGTAAGTTAGGTTGAGCTACAGGCCTTGATGGCTAGAGAGCCTCCTGGATGGTTTCTGAGTTTTACCTTGTTTTGCCATGAGTCTGGGGGGTTGTGAGAGTTTTAGTCCCAAAGAGTAACTGCTCCCAGCTCTGATCTTGGCCTGGCCTAGAAATCTGCTTGCTTCTAATTTATACTGGAGGCTTGAAAAACACATCACCTATGTATCACCAGTGTTTTCTTAACAGTGCCATATTTTAAGTGGTGATAAATGGTGGCTTGCTTAAAGCTGCCCGCTAAATTCATGGCTGAACTAAGATTGGAACAGGGTCACCTGGTTTACTGGTTTTCAGCTGGTAGGTTGTGACTCAAACCTGGGGTCAAAGAATGATTTGTGATTTTGGTTGTGTAGCTTCTACTTCCAACTAAATTTGGAAAAACAAACTAGCATGATTTAACACATCATCAACTGAACTATATAATATGGATACAGCAAGTACTATTGTTACTAAAGGGAACGTGGTGGCGCTGTGGCCTAAACCGCAGAAGCCTTTGTGTGCTGCAAGGTCAGAAGACCAGCAGTCGTAAGATCGAATCCACGCAACAGAGTGAGCTCCCGTTACTTTGTCCCAGCTCCTCACCAACCTAGCAGTTCGACAGCATGTAAATGCGAGTAGATAGATAGGTACCATCTCGGTGGGGAGGTAAAATGGCATTCCCTAGTCACGCTGGCCACGTGACAACGGAAACTGTCTTCGGACAAGAGCTGGCTCTATGGCTTGAAAACGGGATGAGCACCACCCTCTAGAGTCGGACATGACTGGACTAAAAATGCCAAGAGGAACCTTTTACCTATTGTTACTAAACATAGTTTTGGCTCAGAAGCACTAAACAAACAATAGCACTATACTACCTAATCTTTTTGCTTAGTGTAGGAAGTCACCATTAAAGTAGGCCCACTGGAGTCATCAAATCACCACTGATTCAATGAGCCTACTCTAGTTGCAACTTACTAAGCTAAGCAACAGGATGTCAGCCACTAGGTGTTACTATTACCTGATTTTAGTCCCATTGATTCTGTTGGTCTATCGTAAGCATGCTAAAGGTTGGGTCCAACCTATCAGCCTAAATCCTACTGGTATTCACTTATGGTCTGTGTAACCCATCGTGGCTAATTTGAGCTGATAGACAAGGTGCTAGGGCCCAGCTCAATTGTACAATGAGGCATGTGATTGAGATGCACTTTTGTCATTTAGCCACAATTAGCTGTGGCAACCTATGCAAGCCTTATGTGATTTTCAGTAGGATTCTGGCCATTATTTTTAACAGTTGTGGTCTAAGGGTGGTATATGTGACTAGGTAAAGGTAAAGGTAAAGGTTCCCCTTGACAATTTTTGTCCGGTCGTGTCCGACTCTAGGGGGCGGTGCTCATCCCCGTTTCCAAGCCATAGAGCCAGCGTGTGTCCAAAGACAATCTTCCGTGGTCACATGGCCAGTGCGACTTAGACACGGAACGCTGTTACCTTCCCACCGAGGTGGTCCCTATTTATCTACTTGCATTTGCATGCTTTCGAACCGCTAGGTTGGCGGGAGCTGGGACAAGCGACGGGCGCTCACTCCGTTGCGTGGATTCGATCTTACGACTGCTTGGTCGTCCGACCCTGCAGCACAGGCTTCTGCGGTTGAGCCCGCAGCGCCACCACGTCCCTCTATATGTGACTAAGTGTAAGGTTACTGTCAATTACTTTAACAACCACATAGCTCTATTAATATATTTCCTTGGAAGTCCCACTGATTTTAACTGAACTAGATTCCAAGTGAATTCCAAGTGAGTTGAGGATTACAGTCAAAGCTGTGATAATACAAAGACCTCTTATTATTGTTCAGTATCTCAAGAATCCATGATTTCAGAGTCTTGGTTTGCTTTTTGCTGATTTAATATGAGCAGTTAAAATAAGTTTAAGTACAAGTTTGGCCATAAAGTGTCCAATCGTTAAGCAGCATTATGAACCACAAGTGGCAGGTCATAAATCAAGCTTATTGCAATTTGGTTTATTTTAAATTGGGTTTAGCCTCACTTCTCTCCATCTTTTTGCAACAGCCTAACGTGTGTGCCTGCTCATACTAAGATAGTCCACTGGGATGACCCTGAGGCAAGTGAAGGAAACATGGAAAGAGACAAATTGGCATGGTTTTTGAGATGTTACAGCAAGACATTTTCAAGTGCTGGGCCTATTTTTGCAGCAGTTTGGCTGTACCTCAGACAGTAAAACGTCTCGGGCTGGAACTATTTCCCTGCAAGCATCCCTGTACATGTTCCTAAACAGCAAAACCATCTCTGAGGAAGCACGAGGCTTTACAAAGTGTTCCCCTCTTTTCAAGCATATACTCTTTGCAATAGTTTCCACCCCTCCCAAGCCCTGTGCTTCTTCCTCTACGCCTACCTCTACTTCCCCAAGGATCTTATTGTTTCCTTGTCCTGCCCTTGTTGGTGTCCTCTCGTAAGGACCTGATAGTTATTGTTTTAAGATAATAACTCCCAGAACACCCCCCTCCCCCAGCCAGCATGACCTGCAGTCATTATTTCCCAAGCTCTGGGTGTACTGCATCCTTTGTTGTTGTTCTGCAGGTGTTCTGCAGGCCTCCACAATAATCATATCTGCTCTTTGCTTCCACTTGGACCCATGCCCCCACCCTTCTCTTTACTCTTTCCTTCCACACTCCACTTCCCTCTACACTCCCCTTTCCCATTCCCGCCCTGCCCCTACCTGGCTATGAGACACCAGAAGCAGCTCACCCAATGGCTAGGGAGGGTTCACCAGCACAAACAAGCCACAGCTAGGTGGTGTTTACCTCATACTCTATTTGTTTTTAATTCTTGCCCTATCTACACAGTGTGTGCTTTAATTTGACACTTCTCTAAGCATCCTTAGGTTGAGCAGGCAAAACAAAAACATCCCGTAAACCCAACCCTAAGTCAGATATTATGATATTGATGGAAGAGCAGCTGTAGTGAGTTTAATATTCATCCAACTAACACATGACATTTTAAATAAGGAAAAAGTAATTATTCCATTAGATTTAAAAAGAAAGACAGAGGGGGGTCTTACAAGTTTCTTCATCACATAGTGATGAAATAAGGAAAGAATTCTGCTTTTCTTTGTGCCTCTGAGTTCCTAATATTAGAATAAGATAAGAATCCTATACATCTTTATCCAGAAGCAACTGCCACTGAATATATTGGAATTTCCTCCTACTTATACAGAGATTCAGTTAGCTCTCTTAGTATCAGCAAAAGCAGTGGGACCCATGAGTCTTCACAGAAGCTTTAAAAAGTTACTGTTTTGCACTGCAAGTTCCATAATCCCCAGACAGTATTGCCAGGGGAACATGGGAGTTGCCATCCAAGGTTTGGTCATGACCTGCCTAAGGCTGTGGTTCTTTCACAGTATATTCCCAATTTCCTGAGCCTAACCTGACAGAACTCAGTGGGACCCACTATGAAATAGACCTACCGTATTTTTCGCACCATAAGACGCACTTTTCCCCCACAAAACAGGGGGGTGGAAAGTCTGTGCGTCTTATGGAGCAAAGAAAACAGATTATATTTTCCTGTTTTCTTTTCCTAAGAAATTGGTGCATCTTTTGGAAAGGTGCGTCTTATGTATATAGCAGAGGTCATCAACCCCCGGCTTGCGGCCCAGTGCCAGTCTGTGGCCTGAGCTGGACCGGGCCACGGAGACAGACCTCCCGCCCCCTCTCCTCACAGTTGCTTTGTGCATGTGTACATGTGCCATCACCAGTGTGAGCACTCCCCCACCCTTCACGCATGCGCTCGAGCGCATGCACGAAGCGGTGGGGGAGCGCTCACGCCAGTTGTGGTGTGTGCTTGTGCTCCCCCATTGCTTCACACATGCGACCGAGAGCGCATGCGCCTGAGAGAGCACGAGGGTGCCCCCCCGCCTCCTTCAGAGGCTCAGCGGTCCCAAAAACGTTGGGGACCGCTGCTATATAGGACCGTGGGATAAGCCATGCTCCAAGGGTTTTCAATGGGACTAATAAGCATGAGTATCCTGGCCTTGGTTCATTATGTTTCATCTCCTCTCATACTCCCTTTACCCGAGCTGATACAATACAATGGACCTGCAGAATATGTCTCCGTTCTGCTTAATGAGGGTGGCTTCTGGTCCTGAAGCAGTGCCAACTCCCACAGCTGTGGTTCTCTGGGATCTACAATGGCAGCCCTGGCATAGTGGTGAACCA